TACATATAAGAATAATTTTACTCCCTTGTCCCCAAAAGAGTCTTGTTTGAAGAACTTTTTTAAAGAATCCGACTTAAAAGTCAAATTATAGTTGAAAGTAGAATTGTTGTGTAGCCAAGTGGCCCAGGTGGCAAGTGGTTCTAGTAAAATATTATAAGCAATCTAGGAAATAAGTTTTAGGGGTACAAGTCACCATTCATAATTTGTAAAAACTTCTACCTAGATTTAGTTGACTTCAAAAAAGTTTTACCTTAGTTGTTGGATATATTCTAGAATAGACTACTACAATAGTTTGTAATAAAGTGTATTAGTTAGAGTCTCGATTAGAGTGAGTTAGTTTGTTATGACCTAACCGACTCTATATATACATTGTAAAGCTGCTCTCAATCATTAAGAAATAATAATTTGCTTCTTCTATTTCCTTTCTGCATACTTTCTAAAATGGTATCAGAGCTTTAGCTTGATCCATGGCGATCTCCAACGATACTTCTCATTCTTCTATAAATTATGTCAATTCCAGCTCTCCCGTAATTTTCGCACATCCACTTCCAATCAAACTTGACACAAACAATTTACTCTTCTGGAATCATCATGTGGAATTCGTTGTTCGAGTGCATAAACTGCTTCGATTCATAGTGAAACCACAAATTCCAAAACAATTCAACTCTATTGACAATGAAGCAAGTGGAGACGTTAATGAAGAGCATGTTATCTGGGAGCAATAGGATCAGATGTTGTTCTCTTGGTTACTTGCATCGCTTTCCGAATCCTTCCATGCTCGAGTGATCCACTACAGACACTCGCATCAACTCTAGAGTGAGATCAACAGCTATTTCAAGTCACATATCTTTGCTAAATCCAGACAACTCAAATCTGAGTTGTATAACACCGCGAAAGGCGATCGCTCCATTTCTGAGTATCTTCTTTATATTCAAACCATCGCCGATAATTTGCTATCAACTGGAGATCCTGTCTCTGGTAAGGAACACATCAATGTTATATTAGTAGGTCTACCTGAAGAATATGAGTCTCTGATGTCCTCAGATTTTTTGCGAAGTACTTTGGATCCTACTAGTTCATCTGAAGTTGAATCTCTTATGGCCGCTAAGGAAATTAGATTGAAGAAGCTTCGTGAATCATCACAACAAAACTTATTTTCTGCAAATGTAGCTCGTCTTGAGCCATCACCCTCAAATAACACTTCACCACCTGAAAACTCTTCAGAAAATCCTTCTGCTCAATTTGCACAATATAATATCCCTACTAATACGGACTCCTACATAGGCAGAGGTCATGGAGGTGTTGTAAGAGGTCGTGGTGGCAGATATGGTGGTCACAGTTCAATTATATGCCAAGTTTGTGGCAAAACTGACCATCATGCTCTAATTTGCTACCATAGGTTCAATCCTTCTTATACTGTTTCTTCTACTAATTAGTACACCTCGTATTCAATTTCTAAGCCCTATTCTCCTAATCCAAATTCTTCATCATCCCCTTATCAACCAAGTTTCCCTACAAATCATTTCAATGCTTCATAAACTCCTAATCAACAATTTTCTCACTGGGAATAACAATCATGCATTCCATCACATATCCAACCCTACAATCCATCTCCTCAACGGCCCTATACTCCATCCCCACAACAATCCTATACTCCATCTCCTACTGCTGCTTGGGCTTGTTTTACTCCTTCTATTTTGGGACCTGCTCCACAGACTCAAACATGGTATCCAGATTTTGGAGCTACTCATCATGTAACTGCTGATCCAATGAACCTCCAACACAGTGAGCCACTTGTCACCACTGATAAGCTCTTTATGGGCAATGGTCAAGGTTTGGATATAAAGTCCATTGGTTTTACTACTTTTCCCTCACCCTATAAATCCTCTTTATCTCTCTCTCTCTCTCTCAATAACATTTTACATGTTCCCTCTATAACCAAGAATATGATAAGTGTCAGTCAATTTGCTAAGGATAACAATGTCTTTTTTGAATTTTATCTTTATGAGTGCTTTGTTAAATCTCAGGTTTCTATACATATTCTTTTACATGGTATCCTTGGAGAGGATGGTCTCTATATGTTTCATTCTATTCCAACCCCTGGCTTGCATCAAGTCACTCTACCAAGTAGAACATCTACTTCCTCGACATCGTCTACTTTTAGACCTACATCTTCTATTATATTTATGTCTACTTGTAATAATGCTAAGACATGTAATACTTCTCAAACATGTAATCTTTGGCATTTAAGATTAGGTCATCCTCATTTTGAGGCTCTCAAATCTGTTCTCCAGCAATGTAATGTTTCTTACATTAATAAAAATGTTGTTGAATTTTGTTCTGCTTGCTATCTTGGTAAATCACACAGACTGTCTTCATTTTCTTCCACCACTCTATATAATAAAACTTTTGAGCTCATATTCACTGACCTATGGGGACCAGCCCCATTTCTATCATTTGATGGTTATTCTTATTACATAGTTTTCATATACTTCCTCCGTTCTTTTTTAGTTGCAACGGTCAACATTTCACACTTACCAACGCACGTCTTTGACCGTAATTATATCTTAATCTCTATCTGTAAAAAATATTTAAAAATTAGATTTTAAAAATTTGTAATGAGATGAATTGAACTATATTTTTTTAAAAAAATAATTTTCATAAAATAATAATATAAAATGTAGTCAAAGTAGAACATGTGAATAGTGTAAAATTAAATATGTTGCGATTAAAAAGAGACAGAGGATAGTATGCTTCTACCAGGTTTACTTGGGTTTATTTTTTTAAAAAAAAATTGATGCTCTTTCTGCATTCACCAAATTCTATAACTATGTTCTCAATCAATTTTCTGTGTCTATTAAGTCCATTCAATCTGAGTGGGGAGGTGAATTCAGATCATTTACTCAATTGTTGTCTGAAAAAGAAATTACTCACAGGATCATTTGTCTACACACACACACCATCAAAATGGTGTTGTGGAAAGAAAACACAGAACTATTGTTAAAAAAGAATCTAAATATTAATATTGAGTGTGTGTAATATACCAGTCCTATGTAGCACCGATACAGGTACGCAGAAACACGGAAACACAGAAACGGGTACGGGGATACGACAAAAAAAAGGATACGGATACGAGGACATATTTACAAATATTAAAGGTTATGAGGGTGTATTTAAAAACATTAAAAGTTATAGGGGTGTATATATAAATATTAAAAATACAATTTTTTTTAAAAAATATACAAATATTATCCTCTAATGTCTACCCATTCATGGCATTGAAGCATTTTACATTTTCAAGATACTTAGAAATAAATTCATATTTTATCTCATACTATCGTATACACTAGTCATTTCGAAATATAAATATAGTCAATAAGTCATTAATTTAAAATAAGAAATAAGTCAAACAACTACATTTTTTAAATTAATAGTGCAATTACTCAAAGTTCTAGAATAATGAAGATAGAAAACAATATTTTAAAAGTTCTACTACATATTTCCGTTGAAGCTATTAATTTCTAGGGATAATTAGAATTAGGGATAGGAGAATGAGTGAATTCGGAATAGGCCCATTAGTTGTGTACCACATAAATGCAAGGTAAAAATTATATTTTGCCTCTCATTTTTTTTAAGAATTTTATCAAGTAAATTTTGAGTGTTTTTTTAAAGTTTTTTTTGGAAGATTTTTTTTTAAAAGTTGATGCGTGCATCCGTCAGGATTCGGGTATCCGAAATTTTAAAATAATTATCAAAAAATGAAAACTTTTAAAAATTGCAGATACGATCGGAAACGTACGATCCGGATATCCTAGAGCATCAAATACGAGAATACGACACCATAGTGAAGTGTATCCATGCTTCGTACTGTCCCACTATTAGTAGCAATAGGAAAATACGAAGCATCGAATTGATTAGCAGGGCCGGCCCGGGTAGGCAGCCCAACCGCACAGGGCCCAATACTTTGGAAGGCCCAAAAAACAGCAGTATTACTACCATTACTTAGAGCCCGTTTGGCAACCCAGTTTTTTGGCTTATCAGGCTTATCAGCCAGCTTTTTCACCAAACACGCAACTTTTGCTTTCGCGCGCTGAATTGTGTAATAAGCAGAAAAAGTAAGGTTGAAGTCACTTTTCTGGCTGTATTGGCTGAAGTTACTGTAGATGACTATTTTAGCTATTTTTACATATAATTTTTTCTTTATTTTATTAATAACATATATTTATAAAATATTTTTTTCTTAAATCAACAGAATCAGCCAATGCAGCCACTTCATCCAGAACTTCATAAATTTCAGCAGAATCAGCCAAAACAACATATTTTCGTGCTACCAAAAGGCTCTTAGTTAGTGATGGCAACGGGGCGGATCGGGGACGGGTACACATAAAACCGAAACCGCCCCGTTGGATAAATGTTTGCCCCAAAACCGCCCCATTACCCGTTCGGGTAAATTTTATTTGAACCGTACCCGCCCCAATGGGGAATCAGTTTATCCACGGGTAACCGTTTCCCCAAATGATACCAAGTAATCATTTTTTTAAAAAAAATAACCAATTTCTATTCCTACTTGTTATTTATATATTCAAAGCACCCTAAAACATACAAAGGTAAATATTTAAGCAATCAAGCAGACTGGCTTAAATTCATTAGTATGACATGCACCTAATATCTCTTGTAACATAATAAAAAAGTAGTAATCATCCTAGAATCCAAATTCCAAAAACAAGTTTAGGCATATATTTAGTTTTAGGTCTAAAAAAGTACTCCGTAGTATACTTTTTAGCATTATTTATATGATATATATTGTTCTATTTAGTATACACAATTTAGCATATATACTTATTATTCTTATATATAAAAAGTAATACTTCATTAATAATGTTACGGATCGGGTAACGGTGCGGGTACCCGCACCATTAGTGAACGGGGCGGTTTCGGGGCGGATTACGGGGCGGATTAGTATAGAACCATAACCGCACCATTAACCATTTAAAAAATTCGGGTATTTCCCGCCCTGTACCCATTCCCCAGTCAAACAGGTTTTCCCCGATTTGTTCGGTGCGGTATCTCTACTCTTAGTCTGTTAGCCCAATTGTAGCAAAAAAAAAGGTGATCGTTGGGAGGAGGGTAGCCGCGCACGAGCAGTCCAAGCGATTGAAGCGACTCAAGCGAGAAGACAGACGAGCAGAGTCAGCGACGCAGCGTCCTTCCGCGACCGCCACTCCGCCACCGGCCTCCGTCCCTCCGCCAATCAGCCATTAGGCTTTACCGTTATCTCTACCGCCTCTACGCATCTCACTGTCTCAGCCTCTGCAGCCCTCCAGGTTTCATTATTAATTGGTTATGTAATTTATGTGAACATGTGATATTTGTGATCAAGTGATTGATATAGTGATTTTAATTATTTATTAGGGTCATTAGGGTTTAGGCCTACTAATTTAAGATGAAATAATGAAATTTAAAAAATTAGGTTGTTATTTACGGAGTATAATTTAATGTAATTAATTTATGAAATACTTAAACTATACGATAGTATATGTTTAATAAATTGGTATTAATATGTTTATACTTGTAAAGTCGTTAGTTAAAGATAACAAAGTTGGAAGAGCTTCGGTGCCTGAGTGGGGACTGGGGAGGGCTTTGTGGAATTTTTAGTCTGCCTGACATCATCCATATGAGGTGAAGTTTGTTGGTTCGAAGCATTTCATGGGAAAATACAACTAAAAATAGTTCCAAGGATGTGTATTGTTTAATATATGTTGTTTCTGATATTTCTATAATTGATGACACTGTTTTGCAATCCTATTCAGAAACACTTGGGAAGTTTTTAGTTAATGAAGATTTGGTTTCATTATTATTTCTTTATGAACATGTAATTTAACACAAGTTATCACTATGTGTTACTATTGTCATTTTTGATGATTTATTTCTATTTGTGGTAGAAAGGAAGGCCCAATTTTTTTGAAAGCATAATATTTTTTCTTTATTTATCATTAAAGTATTTTAAATATAATATTTATGCAAATCAGCAAATCAGTAAAGTAAGCCATTTTTACTAAAATTTCACCAGTTTCAATATATTCAACTCATGTAACCAATTTTTTATGTTAATACTAAAAAAATAAGGAGTACAATTTAAAACGTGCCAAATTAATTAAATAATTTTAAATTATTATTGACCTAATTAGAAGATCAGATGCCCAAAATCTGGAATAACCTAACCCTAGTTCCGCGTATATACACCGCCGTAAACACCCAAGCCAATCTCCCTTCCCCTTAGGTCGGACGCATGTCTACACCACGCTGGTCTAATATGTTGTAGTGAGTCGATTATTACTAACTGGTCTTCTTATCTTATCGTATCTTGTTTTGTTTGTTCTTACATATCTCTTTCTATCTTATCAGCAGTGAATAGATCAAGCTTAGAGTTTTTTAAGGTTCGTTCTTTATCAATTCTTTCAGTTTCCGGTTGTGTGTTTTTGTAGTACACTAAATCGGAGCAATGAGGTTGGAAAAGTGTTGGTTTTGCTCATCCACTATATACCCTGGCCACGGTATTCAGTTTGTTCGGAATGATGCAAAGGTAGGATAATGTTTTATTCAAATACATGCATACATATCAATTTATTGGATTTCCCTTCCGATGCATAAAAAAAGTCAGTTGGTTTTGTTTGAGCCCACGGTGCAATTTAGTCCTTTAGTATGGCGTACAATTCTATACTTACTCGCGTGGTTTATTTATTGGATACTAGTGCATATTGATATGGATTCAGTGCATATTTCTTTGTAATGTATCTGCTTAATTTTTTATTAAATTGAATATCTTCATATCACTCTAACTATCTTGTTTAGTTGAGTGTCAAATGTTTGTTGAGGAAGTAAACCTCGAAATTAGTCACTCTCAGAATTATTCTCTCAGTTTTCGCTCATTTGACTTTTTTTGAGTCCTAAGTGCATGTTGTCAGTCTCTCTGGCTGCCTCAACACATAATCATTGGAATGTATAATGGTTTATTACATCCTTTATAGTGGTTTATATTTACAAGAAATAAATACACATTGTTTAGTTGTTAGTAGTGCGCACTATTTTAAAAAATTTAAACTGTTGGTGTTCTCAGCCTCAAGGTGCGCTGCGGTTTTCCTAAAAAGGATTCTTGACTCTCGATGATAGGCCTAAATAAACATTTGGTTACATATAAGAATAATTTTTACTCCCTTGTCTCCAAAAGAGTCTTGTTTGAAGAACTTTTATAAAGAGCCCGACTTAAAAGTCAAATTATAGTTGAAAGTAGAATTCTTGTGTAGCCAAGTGGCCCAAGTGGCAAGTGGTTCTAGTATAAAATATTATAAGCAATCCAGGAAATAAGTTTTAGGGGTATAAGTCACCATTCATAATTTGTAAAAACTTGTACCTGGATTTAGTTGACTTCAAAAAAGTTTTACCTTAGTCAAATGTAATTCTCTATTTTTTGAGGAGGTGATTCCTCATATCCATCATGACAAAATCAGAAAACACAGTATGATTCAGTACTCCATTAAAAAGAGCCCCAAACTAAGCAATCAAGATCAAAGCGCACAAACACATAAATTTATTAAGAGTTAATAGTATAACAGGTACTCACGGTGTCCAAAAAGCTAACTGAAACAGTGTAACATGACATAATCCTATGAGTGATTATCTCATATCTCTCTATCATTGACTGTTTAAAAGCTAACAGGGCCATCACGACATTGTTTTTGAATCCTCAAATTTTATATGTTCACTGATGTCAAGGTTAACATCATCTGGCTCCTTTGTCTTGCTGCCACTTTGTTAAGGGATTGTGGGAGGTGCTGTTTTGAACCCCCCTCTTCATTGTATCTGTTCAAAAATTACATTTGATAAAACGTAGCACTTGACTCATTCGGCATGTGGGATCCTTTCATCTCCTCCTCATCAAAGTTGTAGTAGCTTAACTCATAATGTAGAAAACATTTAGCAAGCTACTAAACTATCATAGTATCACATCCAGAGCTTATGTTAAAACTGAATAAATTAATATGAAAAAGGAAAATATAAAACAGAGTACAACTCAAAAGTCTCAGCAAATAAAATATCAAACAAACTGAAAGAATACATTAACAAACCGATGTAGCAAATTAATGATATTGCTACGAGTCATTTTAAAAACTAATAGACTCGGGAAATAAGTAGGAAAGAAGCCTCCCAAGAAACAGAGTTTGGTATCATGAAGTAAAATAAATGTAGAAGATGTGAAAGAAGTAGAAGAAAGGAGGAGAATACTTCATTTGCTTGCAGCTGGGTCATATCAGAGGGTGCAGCTTGGTCACTGAAGAAAGATTGATGCGCTAGCTCTCAAAGCCTCTGACTTCTCTCCTCCTCTTTTCCTTTTACTAACCTGTTATTACTTTAAAATTGTGCTGAACACCTGGTAACCTTAATAGCCCTAACAGTATTTACAAAAAAGTAAACAAAAAGAATCTAATCAGCACACTGTAATGTGTGCTCTTTTGCTAAATGACCTAAGCCACGATTTCATGTACATTTTTTAATTTTATTTCGAAACACATGCGGTGTGTATTTTTTAAGTTTCTAGATTGTATGTTAGCATTTCACCGTGTCAGGCTACTCAGGAATGAACTACTTATTGCTTACTTCTGTACTTGCTTGAGTATCAAAGACCTGGATATTTACATGTCAAGCTATGTTCAGCCCGTGGGGATCAGTTGTCCCTTGAAATATCAGATTTGCATCAGCAATTTGGATTTTTGACCTTTCACCTTAGTTTGTGGGATATTTTCATATGTTATAATGATTAGATTTACTTCATCTGATCTTTTTTTTGTAAAACAATATTTTTTTGCTTTGCAAATTTCTCCTTTTCAAACTCCCTCCGTCCCATTAGACTTTGCCAACTTCCCTTTAAGGTAAATAATGTGTGGACTTGCTCGTTTCTCTCTTCACTGTACAAACTTCAACCACATAATTATTACTTGTCTTATTTCATACCTAAATCTAACCTCGCAATGTCCAATGGGACGGATGTAGTATGTTTTTGTTGTTCATATAGCAATATTGTATTGGTTACAAAAATTATATATATAGAGGCATATTGTTGATTGTCTGTGGTTAAGAAACAAATCTGACAGGTGAATGCTATATTATTTGTTGTGGGATTGTGTATATGCTATATCTATATCACTATATGTATGGCTAAAAGGGTGTTTTTTAAAACTTCATTGATGATAATCCATGTGTTTCTTCATCTGCAGATTTTTAGGTTCTGTAGATCTAAATGTCACAAGAACTTTAAGATGAAGAGAAATCCGCGCAAGGTCAAGTGGACTAAGGCCTATAGGCGGTTGCATGGAAAGGACATGACACAGGCAGGTTACATATATTTAATCTTCATAAAAAATGTGTCAATCAGTTTTGTTTTCTTTTTTTGTTGCTGTTTTATTTACTGACAGTACTCTACATTTCATGCATTTTCATTTCTTCTTGGAATATTCCAAACGGAAGGACTCAACCTTTGAATTTGAGAGGAAGCGAAACAGGCCCGAAAGATACGACAAGAATGTAACAGAGAACACTTTGAAGGCCATTAAGAAAATTGTTAAAGTCAGGAGTGATAGGGAGGCTACTCATCAGAAGAACAGGTTTTTTATGTTCCTGCCAATTTGTCTACAAATTCTGGTGGATCCATTTATATAGAGATTTTTTCTATAGTATTATCAGATAATGATTGATCTCTTTTCTATCTTTCCTCTCTCTGTTTCTTTGATCGTTTATCTTTTTATATTCTTATGTTATCTTTATCTTCTAGCTTTTTATGCTCTTTTATGTTATTGTTATCATATATTTATTTATTTATTTATTTATCTATTTATTTATTTATTTATTGTTATCTATTTATTTATTTATTTATTTATTTTTATCTTATCCGTTTTATCTTGCTTTTTTCTTCTTCTTTTCTGTCTTCTCTTTTCGGCATCAACATCATGGATCGATTCATGTTAGCCTACCCCAAAATCTTTTGGGATTAAGGCTTGGATGTTGTTGATATTGTTGTTGTTGTTGTTGTTTATTATCAGATAATGAAAAAGAATACCATCACGGTCATAATAGTCACTGCAAAAATATTACAAGTCACATTTTGACCTTAAGTATTAATATAGTGATATATTTGTGGTTATTGTAGCGTAAACGCACTCACATACAAATGTGCATTGATGTTTTTCTTGAAAAATCTCCCAGGTTGAAATCTAAGAAACCTAGGGTCCAGAAAGTAGATGCAAAGGAACTTGCACAGAGTATCCACATGGTCAAAGCTCCTTCGGCATTCCAAAAGGATCCTTCACTCACCTTGCCAATCAAGGTCAAGGTCTCACAACAGTCCAAAGAAAACCGCATGGAGGAGTAACGTCTCTCTCTGCCAGTACTTGTCATTACTCATTGCAGACATTGGGCATTCATTACTATATCTGATCCTACTCCTTCCCTACTGTTATTGTTGGTACCCTTTTTGTTTTAGGTGCTAAGAGTATGATATCATTATATTATGTACTACAAGGAAAAATGGTGTTTGATCAACTTTGTCGGAGTACACCCTTGTTTTGGTTTTGGTATGATCAACGGTTATAAATCATGAATTTTTATTCATATTTTTGAAATTATTTGTTAGTTTAGCAAATTGTATCATATGCAACTCTAATTTTGCAAGTTACATGGAAAAGTTATGTAGATTGCAGACAAATTTACAATCATCTATTCAACCATGATATGTAGGCAAACGACAAGGGCTCTACTTGGAAAGTGGCTGATCAGCCAATTTTCAGCTTCTTTGACCTGAAATAACTTATTTGACTATCTAAACTGCTGTGTTTCTTGTTTGACAAACGGATGGTTCCTTTGGTTGCTAAGGCTCAAAATGCCGAAATTTGAAACGTGGGAGGTGGCAGCGTTTAGGAGTAGCTGATCCATTAAATTCTTTTATACCCTTGTTAAAAATCCACTATTTTATATATCCAGCTCTTGGCGTATTTCTTGGGGTATGCGATTCGGGAAGGCAAAGATGGAAGTGCAATTGTGCAAATCCATATCAATAAACAACAAATTGATGTTCTTCACTTTTAGATGAACTACAAATGAGGATCGAAAAGAAAAACAGACCAAAAGAATAATAAGCAAACGAAAGAGGATAACGAAGATGTTTCAAATTGAAATCAGATTAAGCTCGAGATCCATACCTTCTAATTAGAAGCTTAGAACTTAAAAGGGTGTGACTGGAGGGTCCCTTGCTACTCTATACACGCCGCCCCTTGAAAGTTTTTCTTTTTATTTGTTTAGCTTTAATTTTGGGGATTTGGGCGTGAAGGTCCGGCTCTCTACTACTCTTTTTGGTTTTTTTTTTTGGTAAAAGTTCAGTAGATAATGATAAATCATACTCCGTAAATATCAAGTTGAGTTCAAAACTGGTTCGTAACCATTATTTAAAAAAATGAACCAGATTGATGATGACAACGACGGATCATCCCCGTTCTGCCTTCTATCAATTCAATGACGGGGATAACCGAATGGCTTCACAAAAGCAGCTAGTTAAGCACATCAAAGGTGAGAATGATTGACTATATTGTTTATAACTAGTGAGTTAATTCATGAGATTACCAAATTTATAAAAGCATGATTTTAATTAAATATTATTCCAAATAAAATGTCAATTGATCATATTATTATATATGAAGGGTTGATGCATGATTGATTGAACTAGGAGTAATTGGAGCATGAAGACACACCGGCACAATGGCACACACAAGCTGGTGAAGTCGTGAAGACAAGTCGCTGGGTATTTTTGCAATTACCTTTGATGGGAGAGGTTGGGATGATGATGACTATGCAGAAAAGAAAAGAAAAGAAAAGATACCGTATAGGTATGTGGGTGTATAAGAAAGAGGGTGACTCTATTGGAGATGAAATGTGATTTTAATGGTCAGTCTATCCATGACATCCTCACGGGCTATTTATATCGATGACATGTCCATTTTTTATGGGATGTAATTGACATTCCTATTGGTCCTATTGGTCCTATTGGAGATGCTCTTACAGAAGGCCTTCTCTATTGTCTGACTCATCAATAATTTTATTTTTCGTTTACGGCCAAGTAAAAATCTTTCCTCCGAATCTATTTTTTTTTTGTCTGGCTTGTCACCTGTGAAACTCAAAAAGACTCTATTTCCATATTTCTGCCTGAATTTCAAAGTGTTGAATTCGTAACTTTTGGTCTTGCCTTGTTGCTAAGAAAATCAACAAGTTGAAACGGTTGCCGGAAACCTTTCATAGATAAGAGTAGCGATGCAGGGCGTATTAGCGTGTGTGTGTGTATAATCCGTATATATATCAAATAAAAAGTATTTATTATTCATAATAATCAATAATTGTAATACTTAGTGACGAGTTAGGTAACTCGGGTAGTAGAAAACTAGAGAGAAGTTGGATCACTTTTAGAGTGAGAATGTTTTATCATAAATTTTGCAGAATAATAGTACATAATATCTCAGTCTCTTTTCCAAAGGGAAAACTTGACTATTTACATGCAAAAATACAAGGCTTGAGCCTTAAACCCACAATGCTAGCTAATGAGAGGGTCACACGTGTTCAAAAAAACTTGTGAAACACACATGTCGATGTCATGCTGAAGCGGGACAACGCTAGTCCTGGAAACAGTCTCGTGATGTCACTAATGTCCGTCCTTTGGAATCTGGGCATGTGACGTAAGCGAAGGCCGCATTGACGCAAGCCTTGAAATGCATGTATCTGAAACGTCCTGAAAATGGCTAAGTGTGAGATCACAATTGTGCCAGGGCAGATCAAATCCGCTCAATGTCATCTGGTAGAGTCAACTCAGAGTCAATTGCCCTTAGAATCAGTTTTATAACTCATGGACACAAAACAAACCAATTTTAAAAAAATCAAAAAAATGAGACACTCATATAACTGTTATATTTTATTCTCACTTTGTGATAAATATCCCGCTCGAAGTGACCACTTCCCTCCTAGTTATCACTGTCGACCAATGACTATTATCACTAACCACTGCCACTGGTGCTAGTGACCACTGTCGACCATTGATGCCGACGATCGACGCCACAAGAGACCATCATTATCCGTGTCCAATGATCACCACCCCCAACCCATTTTGAGCCCCCTCCTTAGCCTCCTCCCATCACAACCCCCCAACTACCTTATCTTACCCCACAATCTTGCGCATTGCCCACTTGCCCAGTGAAACTGCTGCCCCGCCCCAATCACTTTGTGTGACTGCCCCCAATAGCCTCAACTCGGCCACGACCTCTAACTCCCCCCACTAACCCTACCACAAACCTAACCGTCATATCACCTCTCTATTGAAGAAGATAACATATGTCACCAAGATGTTCCGCATCGAGTGGCAACCCTCCAAATTTGGATCTTCACCATTGCTGGAAAGAAAGGAGAAGAAGAAGATGAGAGAACCGATGATGTCGAATGTGGAGGCGGTGCGGCGTCAGAGGCGGAACGACATGACAACGATGGTGGTAACAACAATAGTTCGATGGTAGTGTTATTAGCTCGGTGGAAATGGAAGATAAGTTAAAAGAGGAAAATGCAATTAGGATTTTGCTATTTAAAATCCTAATTAAACAAATATCCTGTTTTATTTACAGTAAAGATGGTACTATTATTTTTGTTATTATTCCATTTACAAATTGAACTTTTGTACTATGTTTGTGGTTTATTAATTTCATCCCACTTCACCATAAAAACATCCCAATCCCCATTCCACTCAAAAAAGAGAAAATTGGTAACAAATCGGTTTAACTGGTTCAATCCATTTGGCCCTTCGAAATGAAAGAAAGGTTGAAACTTGAAAGCATGGTTTGTTGAAAGGAATTGGACCGGCATCTATTCCTCTGTGACTGCTATGTTCAGTCGGCTATCTACAGACTGAATTCATTTCATAATTTCATTTCCGTTTACACATCCGCCCGCCACCTTGCCCCGATCTCCATCCACCGGACCCAGAGTAACTGAGAATGGAGCCGGATGTGAGCATCGAGACGAGCTGCATGATCCGTGTAGCGGTCATCCCAATCGGGTCAATTCCGATCCCGCTCTTCCGAGATTACACGTCCATGCTGGTCCGCCACCACACCATATCGCTCTCCTCCATCAGCTCCTTCTACACAGAGCACCAGAAGTCACCGTTCTCCCACCAGCCTTGGGACTCCGGCAGCCTCCGGTTTAAGTTCATGGTCGGCGGATCTCCGGCTAGCCCTTGGGAGGACTTCCAGTCTAATCGTAAGATCCTCGCTGTCCTTGGCATTTGCCACTGCCCTTCATCCCCTGATCTCCACTCCGTCGCCGACCAGTTTACCTCTTCCTGTAAGGGTTACTCGTCTTCGCTTGTTCAGCGCTGCTTCGCCTTCTCCCCTGGAGATTCTCAGGTTCCAATGCTTAACTTTTTCATCGTTTCCCCGTACTGGAAGCTATAGCTGTCCATAAATGGTCAGAATAATCGTATTGCATTTTTTTTCTACATCCTGCTTGTAATTTCCTCCCCTCTTTTCCTTTATTTTCAAATGCCTGTCATAAAGTACCTGCCTTTATGATAGCAATATGGTTCTTTGAACTGTAAAATAATTTTACTGGAAGTACGTAAGAAAATTTTTGTGATGAATTTCCTTCTAATATAGTTGCAAAGCTATGACCTTTTCGTGGCTTCAGCAAATGTTTGGCTTTGACTGGTTGACATTAGACTATTTTGAATTTTCAGAATGCTGCATTCTTCTTGGGATAAAAGATAACTATATGCATGATGACACTAAACACTAACATTCTATATTACATACTCCTATCATGAAGAAAATGAATTGCCTAATTGGAGATCTGCTGGCTCCTTAAGTGCCCCAAATATCACACTTCTCAAAGATAGCTTCATGTCATATTCACCCAATGCATTACTTAAAGTTTTCGTCTAATGGTTATCAGTTTGATTGTCCTTCGCTAAGTATATTACTTTGATATGCACTGATGGCAGTTAGAGGATGAGAGTCATAAAGGGAGAAACATAGTTTTGTTTCCGCCGGCAGATAGACAAACTCAAGAGTTTCACTTGCAAACTATGATGCAAGATATTGCTGCCTCACTGTTGATGGAATTTGAAAAATGGGTTCTGCAAGCAGAGTCTGGTGGAACTATTCTAAAGACTCCTTTAGACTCTCAAGCTAGCCTGAGCTCAGAGGAGGTTTATATTTTAGGTGTTCCAAGTATTTGTTTTCACATTACTTTCTTGTTTAGTACCTACACTTCCTACTTTTCCGTTTCATTGTTGAATTTTGACTTGGCAAGTTGGCATTATATTTTACATAACTCATAGGTTATCAAGGCAAAGAAAAGAAGGCTTGGGAGGGCACAAAAAACTATTGGGGATTACTGTTTGTTGGCTGGGTCACCGGTTGATGCCAATGCACATTATTCTACTGCACTTGAACTCGCTAGGTTGACTGGTGACTTCTTCTGGTATGCTGGTGCAATGGAGGGGAGTGTATGCGCATTGATGGTAAGTAGTTCTCGATTTGGCTTATATCTTTACTCTACACAGTTATTAGTAGATGTGGTTTAATACTTCTGTGTTGATGCCATTATCCATACATCTTGGTTGGTTATGTTAGCTGAAATCATCTCATCATCTGACCTCCCTCATGAGCCCATGGCTTATTTAATGACTAAATGATGGA